GTGGTCTGAGCGAGTTTCAAGGATCTCTCGTAGTTCCTGTGCAAGTAAGTTTGATTGTTTTGGAAACTACATCCATACATCTAGGTGAAGTGCAGCTGTTTTCCCATGACCACATATTTTATTCACTGCAATAATGTCTCGATATAGGTTTTTTCTTTTACGTACAAGTAAACTTCTCATCAATTGACTATCCATCTTCAACTATAAAGGAGTCCAAAAATTCAGGAAGTGTTTTTGCGACAAATGTGAGCCAAATTGCAAGACCTCGTGTGTCATTCTCCCCAACTGTACGCCGTCCAGCTCGTCGCCAGCTAGATAATGGTGCCCAAGGCCTTATTAACAGTGCTGACACAAATGATGAGAATACCCCTTCCGAGACTGTTGTTGCTGCTCTCGAACATCTCGATCTTTTTTAGATTTTCGGCAAACATGATAAACTGTTAATGATTCACTTTGATAATCTAGGCGATGGCAACTACTGCTCCTTGTATCGACCTTTCTTAGTAATTTTTCAATCATTAATACGTCTAACCCGGTATTTCACAACTCATACTTATTACGGTTCACTTGTCCGCTTTGCTTTGGTATACAATGTCCATTCATTTAGCTATTCTCAATTTGACAACATCAACTAGTTGTACTAAGAAATTTCCTTTCGGATGCTTCGGCAACTTCTGCCTTTGTAGTTTTACAGATCACTTTTGTATGTTGTTTGTGTAAGTTTTGTAAACTGAACATCGGATTGATTTTCATTTGTTTCAGTATTTTACATGTAGTTGCATATTCGACTGTTGCGCATAAATGTGTTTGGATTTTGATGAAATGTGGACACGAAAAAAAAAACGACTTACCCAAGAAACGACTACTACCCAGAAAGAATCAAAACTATGTATCCGCCTGACCGATTGTGCTGGAAAAAATTCTTGAGCTGAAACTTACCTCCGTGTTAGAACGCGAAAACCTATCTGATCTGTGACTCCGAATATATGAAGAACTAAAATCTTTCAAAGCTTTACATCTATTCTTCAGGATGTTTGTTGTACTGAGCAACATGTGAGCTTCGTGGGCAGGCCAAGTAGATCCATTACAAGTTGGTGGTGTTAAAAAAAATGTGAAGTAGCATCATAACGAAACCGTTGTTTTTTTTGGCCTCGTTACCATTTA